TTTCTTCCAGTTAACATTACATAACAGTCTGCAGTTTAAGTTTTTATTTTAAAACATTTATTAGATTCATAAACTATCCTGGATTTTTACCAAACTTGGACAGAAGCTTCTTACAATCAAAAGATAGTATAGAGAGGAATATTTTTATTAATTTTTATCCTCATTTTTGTTGAGCCTGTGATTAACAGCAAAAGTAGGCGAGACACTGGGTTCCGCGGAACCCTTACGAATTTTTATCTAACGCAATCATAGGCTTGAACGTTGTTTTCAATTTAGACTTGTATATACTATTGTATTTTAATGTATGCATGTTAAATGTTTACATGTATATTGTTTGAGGGCCTCAATGAAAATTAGACTAGTTCTAATTGAGTTACCCTCTTTAAACAAAGAATTTGTTATTATTATATTATATAACAAAAATTATGCAGTGTACGAAATGCCTTTTTAGAGGCAATTCAAAAAGTATCGGATATCAGCAGACGAACGGCAAGGTTCGATGGATAACAGCCGACGAAAGTCGAGGTTCATTGGATAACAGCAGACGAAACACGGACGGACACTTATTGCCTTTCGAACAAACATTTTAAATTAATTAAAAAAAATAATTATTTAAATTTCAGGTGATGTGCTCAATCAGTCAACCAAGTTTCTCTCATGACCATGACAAGAAATTAAAAGGCGTTACCGGCCGAAGTAAGGATGTTGAAATTGATCAGAATCAAAATGAAGTACAAGCTACAGATTTGAATATGAATGCGAAACAAGATGATCTCAACTATGTTTATTACTCAAAGGTAACCAAATTAAGGATGTTCGCTACTCTGTTTCAAAATAACAAGCTTTTTAAAAGACTGTTATAAATTGATAGTATATAAATAAAGGAACAAAAAAAGCAGAAAAAAACGAAGGGTCCGTGTGCTTGTTTTCGAGATATAAGCCATTGAAATTTGGCGGGAAATGATTCTCTCTAGAATTTTCATACATTTAACATTGGCACCTTTTTTCTTTCCAAAAAGGATTTTATAAGATTTTCAAGTATGGATTTTTTTAACTATATGTAATGATATTATGAAAAGAAGAGTAGGGATTAGCGGGCCAAATTTTTAATGGCACTAGATGGATAAAACAAGAGTATTCCGAATATCTGGCAAAAATTCAAAAACAAAGAGTTGCATAATATCTAACGCCCATTATATAATTTTATGCAAACCACATCCCTCATTAAAAGAAATATGGGTCTTAATAAAGAAAACAATGAATATCAATGATTGATTGAATGTTGCTACATGGTGTAGCTCCGAAACAGCGGTCGACGTATGGTGTAGCTCCGAAACAGCAGTCGACGTATGGTGTAGCTCCGAAACAGCGGTCGACGTATGGTGTAGCTCCGAAACAGCGGTCGACGTATGGTGTAGCTCCGAAACAGCGGTCGACATCGCTACGCTTAGCATGGCAATCGTCTCGTATTATAGCAAAGACGTTGAACGCTGTTTCGGAGTTGGGCGACTTGACCACCAGTGTAAGGATAAAACAGTTACCGTATCTAATCCGATTTAATTGAAATCAGGAAACTTTGGGAAATGCCACTCTCTGAAAACTGAGGAACCCGGGCAACATCTTGTCGAAGGTGACCCGTTTGACGATAGAGTTTCTGACTCAAAACAAACACACAGTTGTTAAAACCTTCTGTAATTTTAATATTAAGGAGGTTGAGTATGTTTTATAGATTTTTTTTAGAATCTCTTTGCAATTATAATTTTGGTCACATGTTCGAAAATACGACAAAATGTGTTTAAAACCTTATTACAGTGAATTTTAGTAAAGGTTGAAGGACATTTAGAAAATGGCCGAGTCTTATGTGAAAAAGGAATCAACAAAAATACCGAACTCAAAGGTAAATTTAAAAAGGGGGAAGTCCATGAAGCCTGACAAAATCAAACGTTCGATAATATCAACAAACTGAACGGATGGAAAACAACTGTCATATTCCTGACTTGGTACACCCAATTTCCGAAGAAAATGGTGGGTTAAGCCTGGTTTTATAGCTGGCTAAACCTCCCACTTGTATGACAGTTGTTTATATTTCCGTAATAGTGACAAACTTGGGTGAGCAACCAAAACAGATCTAGACATGATTGGTTTATGTGACAATGATTGGGATCCAGCAGCCAAAACTGTGTAAACACATCACAGACATACAAAACAACCGATAAACAAATTCTAACAAACATGCAAATAAATCTGACAAAGACGCCAATAAATTTGACAAAGACGCAAATAAATTTGACAAAGACGCAAATAAATCTGACACAAGACTCCAACAAAAAAGCTACTGTAGTTGATAAAAATCAATTCAGTGGAAAATTGGTCCTACCTAAAAAAAAAATTAAAATAATAAAAGTACAAATATGAACCTTAACTTTAGTGGTTCAGCATAAGATTTTTAAAACTTAAGATGAATATGGACTTTAAAGAGGCCTGCGAAAATGTGGATAATAGAGAAGGGTAATGTAATAGGGTCTGGATTGGGTGAGATTGGGGATCTTTATTCCTGTATTTCTAAATTTTAAGGGTCGTTTTTCTCTATTCATAAATTCATAACACATTTTGCCTACTATTCTCTATTGTATTTATTTAAGTGCCCCATTATTCTCTATTCTTTATTTGTTTGGCCTGTTTACCTCTATTTTTATTTTGGTCCATTTCTATCTATTCTTGATTTTTTTTGCCAATTATTTTGTAGTATTGGCACATTAAATGTATATTTTATTCTGTAAACCCCATCCAGACCGTCATATGTTTTTTTTCTCATTTGAACAAATCAGCTTACAAATTGCCTCTTCAATAAAATTGTGAAACCTGCAGAAAGCATTGCAATTTCCTTTACCCTAACATGTCAGGTAAACGTTATCCAGTCAAACCGGACGTAAACATTCAATGACCACTGTCCAGTAATTTTTAATCTGACCTGTATTTAACCTTTGGTACATCGTATATAGGTCAACCAAAACAATATTATGTAATTCTATTGTACACTTGTAACCATTAACATGGTCATTAATCAATTGTCTTCTTGACCTTAGTAGTACATGTAGTTCTTCGAAGCAAATATTTGCCCTGTGGCCGTATAGGTCATACAACAACAAGAGGCTTTTAAAGGGGTCACTTTGGGACCTCATGATCGTACTTTTTACATACTGGTAAATAAAAAAATAACGGTCTTCTTTCCACTAAATACTTTTAATCAACGTTCTTAATGAAAACACAAAACAAACTTTTGTTTGGTGACTAGCTCGAGAACTACATATTACTGTATCTCTGAATTGCATGTGATTGGTGTTGATATTTTGAATAAACGGAGATATTGAATGTGCATCATACTGGCGCTTTTGCAGGCGTTGATCCAGGATTTGATGTAAAAAGGGGTCTGGGCGCTCCCCTATGTAATACATCAGTGACCGCTGTGGATAGTAAACTTGGGATTGATAATAAATAGCAAATGCAAGTTATTTCTAGTATATTTATGTTCATATGATTCAGAAAAACGCAAAAATAATTGGAATTAATAGAAAAAAAGAAAAAAAAACTATTTTGGAAAAAAGGGGGAGGGCTAAAAATAAATTGTCATGTCCCCAAGTACCTTTGCTCCTCAGAAGTAATAGTTGAAGGACCATATTTTGTGGCGTGATTGCCTCGATTGCGGCAGGTCGTCTTTCGATCCCCGTCTTCATGCATGGGTCAAACAAAAGACTTCGAAATTGTTATTTCCTACTTCTCCACCAAGAACGCGGCATTTGTCAGTAAGAGCAACAAGTCGTGGGATCAGAGTAAAAAAAATCGTATCAGAAAGGTTTTACAAAAGTAATGAAGATGTGGGATAAAGTATATCAAAACGAGGCAACAACCCAACGACACAAACAATATAAAGTGTCAGTATACAGTTTTAAACAATAAGACAATTGACTTTACAACATGTCGAGTTTTAATTGCCATTGGTCTAAAAGAAATAAATACATTGAATGGAGACCAGCAACGATTATATTAATATATGGAACTTGTCCAGTGCTTAAATTGAGACCGCGAAATGTCTTGATTATTTGTCGTTGGGTTGCTGTCTCATTGGCGTATATCCCACATCTCCTTTAGGTATTCATATTCAAATTGAATGTTGGTGTTGGCATTGAATGCAGTTGTTTATTGTTTTTACAAATACTTGGTCTTTCCCAAAACGTATCCAAGGACGAAGGGAACTGGGTGGGCTAAACTATGTGTTCCCCCAGTTGTTTGCAAACAAAATCATTGAAAATAAAAAATGAAAATGGAAGAGGACACTGGCTAACTTATAGGCTGTTAGAATACAGAAAATGATTGGTTCTTTTTTTGGCTTGTCACTTTCAGAGGTTTGCAATTTGCAACCCCCTCCCAACAAACTCAAACACGGTTTAGTCTACTCTTACGGCAATGGTATCATTATTGCAATTTGGGACCAAGAATATGTTAGAAAATGTGATATGATGTTGCTAGAAACTTAAGAGTGCACTTGTGAAGCTGCGATACTTCAAATAATAAAAATATTGAAAGGCTTGAGTTTTTAAAAATCCTGTTGTAAAATAAATAACGGGGAATTCAGGCTTTCGTTCGCTGATAATGTTTGTAGTACAAGAAGTTCTTCGCATCCACTAATAAAAGAAAAATACCACGTCTTGTCTTTTACTTTGAAAAAAAAATAAGCAGTAAAGCGTTAATTTATTAATTACATTTCGTCTTTTTGCATTTGCTTTTAAGGTGAATGTAATGCATAGTTATACTCAATTCAAATTAGTTAATCAGTTGTTATTAGCTGCATTTTGTTGAAATCGATGAAAAGTGAGAAAGTGAGGAAAAACTATGTTGCTTCAAGCATGATTGCATCCTTTTCCCTGCTTTTGATAAAACTTGTAACACGTACTATACTGATGGAAAACAAAATAAATGCCCTCTATTGAACCTCGATCGATCTTCTCTTAATAGACGGTGTTTATTTACTAACTTTTAACAAATACGGAATTGGGAAGTTCAGGGTTTTATTTCTAATCACGTTAAGGTAATGTATATTTATCTATTTAAAATGCAACCACTGTTTACTTATTTATTTATTTTTTTATAATTGTTTCGTAGAAATGGGGTCACAGAGTATTTATGTCTTAAATATTTTGAAGTCAAAAGTACATGACCTGTTTTAAAACAATGTAAATGAACTCAAACTTTCATTCATAAAATAGACAGCATACGTACAGATTAAATTGTCCTGGAAAAGACAAATAAATTACGAGTCGTTTATCTAAATCTACAAATGAACTACTGAAATTACATAACTTGACCTAGTTCGATATAATTGCTTCACGAAAATGTAAACGAATATATTTCTTTATATATATAACATAGGATAAAAGCAAATATATCATGAAATTAAAATTTGATCAAAAAAGAAATTAACCCGAAATTGTCATTTTCACACAATTTTAAACGGGAGAGGTGTCCATACGTCTTCCATTAATTTATGACCAATTGTTATGTTTTCCTATATATGCCGAAATTGCCGACAGGTAAATACGAGATCAAAATCTATCCAGGGTATATGTATATATGGTATATATGGTGTCTTCCTCCTATTCCCACTTTTTAAAAATACTATTCCTTCTATTCCCACATGCAAATAACAATAGATGTTTTGATAAATAGTTTGTTTTTATAACAATCAAGGTTAATTAGAATGTCACCTAAGATTTACCTGTATTTTTTTTTAAAACATAACATATTTGGTACACTGTTTATGTATAATACCTTGTTTATTTCTTTTTTCGTCGAAGAAATATTTAAAAATAAAGAATAATTATGATAAATAGATTGGAGTAAGATTTATTTTAAAATTTTTGAATTAAAAGAATTGTCTGCTATACAAATACATCATGATATAAATAATATTATAACCAAGTATAATCTTAAGATGTGGAATAAAAGTATACTCTTAAAATATAATTACTTGGACGAATAATCAAAGATGTAAAATAATGGGTGAAAACTGTTAACTTTACTTCAAAGCATGAGCAGTCAGATTTGATTAATTTTAATTGACTGAGTTAGAGATGGTGATGCAGCCTCCCACCTTCTTCACGTGGAATAGATTGATAAACTTTAATAGACTTGTATACAGTGATTGTCTAATGTATGTGCTACAATGTGTGATTTGATTTAGTGCTGTTGTATAATTTGTGTTATATTATGCTTGATTGAATCTACAGTTGAATTTGTGTTATAAAAGAAATAAAATAATTTACTTATATTTGTTTTAATTTCTTTCATATTTATTTTGTTTAAAAAAAAACAGAATTCATACAGATGCAAAAATAACTTATTACCTGTCCTAATAAAGAAAAAACACTGGTCAATTAACAGTTGATTAAAAAATGTTTGTACAGTATAATCCTTTGTTTGCACAAGTTTTCCCCCTATTCCCACATGAAATATTAACTTTTCTTACCAGATTTATAAAAAGTGGGGAATAGAGGGAATGAACCGTATATATGAATATTATATGGTCATCTTATTTTACGTCTGGACTTTACACCTACCTAACGTTCAGTGAAGCGAAACGGGAACATGCCTATTCATTAATTTGGACAGACAAATGCAAGTTTCCTCAACAATGTGGTTTCAGAAAGACTTTTTTGAAATATTCAACGTTTCAATGCTTGAATTTCGCATCAATGATTAGGTGAAGAAAAACATACCAAAATGTCAAACCGATATATATATATATATATTTTTTTTTTTAGAAATTTATTTCTGGACCACTCACTTGCACAAAAATTCACAGAATTTATAATTATTTGATTCATTATCTTTTTTGTGTGTTTTGGGTCAAAATGTTGGGACCCCGTAGCACATTAGTACCCGAAGAATTGACATCCCCCAACCAAAAGCCCCAGTCACATATTCAGGATTTTTACTACCTTCCATGATGGAACCATTCTCGATTAAAATTTGTCAAAAGTTTGATCATGATCCTGTGATTCGTTTCTTGAAATTCAAACAATGTTAAAAGTGTAAAAACATTTTTTTCATCACAACAATCAAATATTGTCCAGAAAACGTCCCGATCTAACCGTTTATATCATAATTCGTCCCGATTATTCCGTTATCAATCCAAATCTGATCCGATTTGTATCTTTCGTATGGTAAAATACGACCGAATCTATCCGCAGTGCATCCCGATTCTCCCCGAATAGGACCGACCGGGATCAGACATGCAGTGAACAGACGTAGGACATTGTTAGGATTTTGATCCGATATAGCAGAATCTATCACGACATAGTCACGATTGTAATCCGAATAAGCAAAATCGGACGAGTTTTCCGAATGTTACGGGACGCACCTAACTGTCGGGGTTCTTAATCAACCTCTTCAAATCATTAGGATAAAATTGAGAATGGAAATGGGGAATATGTCAAAGAGACAACAACCCGACCAAAGAGCAGACAACAGCCGAAGGCCACCAATGGGTCTTCAACGCAGCGAGAAAATCCCGCACGCGGAGGTGGTCCTCAGCTGACCCCTAAATAAAATTGTGTACTAGTTCAGTGAAAATGGACGTCACACTAAACTCCAAAACATATAAGGAGTCTTACGAACGTATACGACTGCTTCCAGACAATGATAGGACAGTTCATGTCATTGAGGATAGAAATCCGACTTTTTCGTTTTTCGTGTCGTAGTGTTATCGGTCTGATCGCCAGTGGAAACAAAATTCGACAGTGTGAACGTCACATAATAAAGCAAATTAAAAAAAAACCTCTGTAGCTGTCCGCGTCTTTCCTCGATCGTGCTTAAAACGATTAATTGATTGTCGTTTGCTTAACGTCTAGTGGCAAATATTCGTACCTAAAAGAAGTAGTTGTTTCACTCACAGAATCCTACTAGAATTTGAATATTGAAGAGTTTATAACATATACCTAAAACATTAAACAACTTTTGTAGATATTCTTAAATGAAAAACACCTTATTCTGTAAAAACAATCTACAAAACTGTTGGAAGGCAAATTGATACAAAATTTTCATCGGAGATCATGTAGCAAGTACTAACTTATTTATATACGTAAGACAATATACAACAAAACCACCAGCCAATGTATTTTCTTCTTTTTTAATAAAAACTCCAAAATTTGCTTAAATCTGTAAAAATGCAGCTATGGTATATCTTCAGGCGTTTACATGACTAGTGTAAAACCATTCAAACAGGAAAACCAACGGTCTTATCTATATAAAAAAAGAGACACACTTATGAACCACATAGTTAGGTTAAAAATATTGTTTTATTTCCGAAATTTTTTTTTTTAGAAAGTCTAGGTTTAAGGTCACTGTGTTCAGAGTACATGCAGGTAATCTTTCCTTCTGTTAACTTACAATAACAATAAATAACACGCACTAAGAACGATAACTCAAATATATCTATAATACCTCCAACCTTGGCTGAAACTGATACAAACGTAAAAAGTTGAAGGTCGGATAATCCGGTTCAGTGGTAAGTTAGTTAATTTATATAAAAAAGAAATATCATATAATATCATTTTGAAAAAGCAGATAGGATTGCATTATCATAATGACCTTTGCTGTATAGCATGAGTGTAGAATATTGATTAATTATAAATTAGTGTGTAAATATGCTTAAGACGTGGGCAGTTGGTGTTATATAAATTTAAACCACATGTGTATAGAATAGACAATTGATTTTTTTCTTCACTTTCTGATTTGCATGGCATTTAGAATTCCGACAACCTGAAATATTACGCAAAGTTTTGCGCAATTTAATCTAATTTAATTTAATTTTGCGTGACATTTTTTTTGTAACTTTTGACATATTTTTCCTCGTTGACTGACCTGCATCTGTTTCTATGCTAATGTCTATTTTACTGTGGTTTAATCCATTATATTCTGGCTGTTCCTGCATTTTTAGAATCCGCTATATCAGTTGTAGGAAGACCATGTAAGAATAGGAGGGATGCAAAAATAAAAAAGGGATTAAATCGCGATTATTTTGTAAAACAAAACAAAACATAAATAGATATAGGAAGATGTAATATGAATGCCAATGAGACAACTCCCCATCCAAGTAACAATTTATAAAAGTAAAATAAAGCTTATTAACTTCAGGTAAATATCCATAAAATCCCTTAAGTTTTTTTTTATCAATATCTAATTTGAACGTACTACTAAATAGTGGAAATTTCATCAATGTCCAGTAATTTGAAATTATTGGAAAATCTTTAAAATTTCTAACAAATACATGTTCATGTCTTATTGAAATTGTCCTGTATCTTTATTCTGTTTTAGTTTTATTTTTATTTAATTTTCTTTCCTTTTCAAAACTATTATGTTTATATATTTCCACGTGTAATAAAAAAAAAATCTGTGTACGTGTTGTCATTGAGTGAATCCAGATAGAGATCAAGACAGTAAATCAATCATGTGTATAACAAAGTATTTTACACAACAAACGTATAAATTGATAAACTACATACAGGCATAATTATGACTTTAACCGACGTGGATCATATATACGCGCAGTGCTACATAACTGTTTTTTTTTATATGAGGCCATTGATTGTGTTTATAAAGAATAGAGAATAATGGGTGAAAATAATAAAGAAAGGAGAAAAATGGACGAAAAATAAACAATCGAGAATAATGGAGTTCTAAACAATAAAGATGAGAGAGAAATGGTTTCAAAATTTAGAAGAAAAAAAAAAAACACGGAAATGAAGGACCCATCAAAAAGAACGTTTAAAAAATTTTGTTTTCAAATTAATCGTACAATTGACCTTTTTTTAACCTCGCATTATATTTTGTTTCCGGGTAACAGTATCAAAACAGACATCCAAATAATATTTGTTTATATCATAGATATAAGAAGATGTGGTAACCTATACATGGTTTTTGTTTGTTTTGAAATAAAGAATTATAATTATCGAAGAAACAGTGACTGCTATTTTAAAACACTGCCCAGTCATGGTATAATTTCAGTACAAAATACCACATACAGTATCA